TTTTTCTCTTTTCTTTTCTCATTTAGAGCTAAAAGCAGCCCAGAATTAGCGATATATCCTGTTGAGTGCACTAAAGCTTTCTCAATTCTTAGTGGGAAAAGGAACACCCAAGCTTACAAAAAAGCTAGCATAGCTACCTGGTGTTTTCATCCCGGGATAGCTCACTGCATCAAGCCAAACCATGGGACTACATCTTTGCATACTGAGTGATGAAAAGTTGTCACTCTAAATATCCTATATAATAAAGAGGGAATAAGCAAATTGACTGTCACTCTGCCACAAAGATGGCGGCGCCCACAGTGGAGGCTGGGAGTTTGTGTAACACAAGATGGCTGCACCCACAGCGGAGGCCAAGTTCCTGTAACGAGCCTTAACTAGCAATCAGCAGGGATCTGAGGCTGTGCCTCCCCCGCCCCCCCATCCCCCCGGTGTGGCTTGACCAGGGAACCTCAGGACGTGCTCCTCTGACCCGGCACCGGGCCAGGGAACCTGAGGCTGCACCCCCCCGCCTGGTAGGGCTTGACGAGGGACCTCAGGCCACAACCCCTGCTGCAGCGCTAGGCTGGGGACCTCAGGCTGTGCCCCCCGCCCTGGCACCGGGCCAGGGGACCTGAGGCCACAACCCCCGCCCAGTGGGGATTGATGAGGGACCTCAAGGTACACTCCGCACCCTGGTTCTGGGCCGGGGGACCTGAGGCCACACACCCCCGCCCAGTGGGGCTTGACAGAGGAATTGAGGCTGTGCCCCCCTCCCAGCAGGGCTTGACGAGGGACCTCAGGCTGCGTCCCCCTCCCGGTGCCAGGCTGGGGGACCTGAGGCTGCGCCCCCCACCCAGCGGGGCTTGACAGGGGACCTCAAGTTGTGCCCCCCACCCTGGCCCAGGCTGGAGGACCTCAGGCTGTGCCCCCTGCCCCGGCGCCGGGCCAGGGGACCTTAGGCCATCCCCCTGCCCAGTGGGGCTTGATGGGTGACCTCAGGCCATGCCCCCTGCCTGGCAGGGCTTGACGGGGGACCTCAGGCTGCGACCCCGCCTGGCAGGGCTTGACAAGGGTAGGACCAGCCAGGTCTGGATCTAGCCCAATGGGGGTGGGGCCGGCCGGGTCTGGGTCTCACGCAATTTCGAGGTACACGTGGGTGGGCAGGGATTTGACTCTGGGCCCCGTGGTGTGCCCCAGTCTCTGACAGGAGGAAGATTTTCATATACATTTTACTAATTTTCTTTAATCTCTGACACTTCTATTATAGAGAAAGGGCAAATAGCAATATTAAAATATTTACTCTAAGTAATCCCCTTTTAATGTACACGAATTTCATGCACTGGGCCACTAGTGGTTATAATTTGGAGTACCACTTATTTTGGTGATTGGAAGTGGTCATCCACTATGCCACTGCCATATCCCTGTACAGATTTTGTTACTGACATGTGGGTGTTGCTATAATCAATACCTAAAATGTGGAAATGGCTTTGAGTAGAGGTTGCAAGAATTTGGGGAAGCATAATAGAAAAAGCCTAAATTGTCCTGAAAAGCCTGTTGGCAGAAATATCAATGTGCTAGTGAGGACACACTTCAGCTAAATGAGGCTTCTAAGGCACATTGGCATGACAACTATTCAAAATAGTTATCAGTTCTGATTTTATTACAGAATGGCTATAATCAGCTGGTGCAGATGGAGAGATGGTCCTATTAGATATTAATTCCCCCCCCAAGTGTTCACTTAGAAAATGGATGCCTGGAAAATTTTGGGAACATGTAGCTGGGGTCTTTGAAACATTCTTCAGTGAGCTTGACTGGCTTAGGACTGGGGCAAGGAAGGTGAGGAGGAGGGCTACAGACCACTTCCCCTCTCAATACTTGCAGTGGTTGGCAAACTGCAGCTTGGCAAACCGTGGCTCGTGAGCCACATGCAGCTCTTTGGCCCCTTGAGTGTGGCTCTTCCACAAAATACTGGCTCTTCCACAAAATACCGACTTCTGCGCATGGGCCACAAAGTTTCAATCACACTGTACGTGCGCGCCCGCATGTGGTATTTTGTGGAAGAGCCACACTCAAGGGGCCAAAGAGCCGCATGTGGCTCATGAGCTGTGGTTTGCCGACCACAGCTTTAAGGATTCCATGGCAATGAGTATGTTTCTCTCCAGATACAAACAACTTCTGAAAGAAAAAGATGGCATTTGTCTTGCTTTTAAATAATTACAAGAAGCTTGAAGAAAGTGGTTGGGTCCTCCCCATTCTCCCTCATGCTCAATACAATGCAAGGATTGGATATACACTCACAGATAGTGGTAACAACATGAGATGGAGTGCTATGCCACAGAGCAGTGGTTCTCAAAGCTGTGGTGGTTATCAGATTCAGAAGATTCTCAGGTCTAGCCTAAAACCATGGAAGCAAACTAAATGCCACAGGTGATTCTGGTACCCATAAAGGCTTAAGCCACCACTAGTCTACTGCAGTGTTAATATGTGCTCTGTGCAACTATGGCTGCATGGTCAATAACTTATCCCAGCATTTCTCAAAGTTAAGCAGGCTTCTTTAACACAGGGCTTTTGAGAATTTATTATACTAATATACATTTTGAACCCCAAAGCAGGAATTAGTGTACGCCATTGGTTCTCAAAATGTGGTCCCCCAGGTCCAGCAGCCTCAGTATCATCTGGGAACTTGTTAGAAATCCAGTCTTAAGCCCATCTCAGACCTGCTCAATCAAAACCTCTGGAGATGGGATTGAACCATATGAGTCTTTCTTATAAGCCCTCCAGGTGTTTCTGATGTTATAAACAGCTTGAGAGCCAATAGTCTTTGTAGTGTTTTCCCAAACTATTCTTAAGTGTGTGCAATGAAGATGTGTGAAAGCATAAGCACTTGTACAGAGATTTTTTCGCAACTATTTGATTGTTGTTTTATATAAACACCCCTTTCTGTTAAAAAAAAACAAAAACAAAAACAAAAACAAAAAACAAAAACAAAACTTGAGGCAGCTCAAGGAGAATGCTGGCAGTAAAGGATTCTTTCAGGGTATTTTGACCACCTCTTATTTATGCCAGGCTTCCCTGAGACACCAATGTACTGATTTGTTTATCACTAGCAGCCTATGCTCTTAGTGAACAATGACAAAGCCAAAGCAGCAACCAAAATAGTCAATAAACCAAACCTTAGGGTCCTTGATGCAAGAGGGAGACAATGCATTCTTTTCCTTACTGAATGAAAACTAGCAAGACTTAATGGGGGCAGGGCTGAGTGAGTCTACTTCTGATATCTTATCTAATAAAAGAGAAACATGCAAATTGACCATCCCCCCGCTACCCCCACAAGCCACACCCACCAGCCAATCAGAGGGACTATATACAAATTAACCCAACCAAGATGGCGGCCGGCAGCCACAGAGCTGGAGCAAGCAGGAGGCTTGGCTGCTCCCGGCAATGGAGGAAGCCAAGCTTCATGCCTGCCCTTGCCCACTGTGGGCTCCGCTCAAGGCAACAAAGTTTCAATTACAGAAGATGAATAAATCCCAGATACCTGCTTCCAGCCAGCCTCCACAGGGAGCTTGGGTGGCTGGGGGCTGTGGCCAGCCTGCAAACAGCCATCAGTCTCTCACCCAGGATGGCCACACCCTCATGGGGTGAGGGTCCCCGCTGGGGGGCTTGGCCACCCTGCAAACAGCCATCAGCCCCTCACCCAGGCTGGACAGGCACCCCAACGGGGACCCCCACCGTGAAGGGGCTGTGGCCAGCCTGCAAACAGCCAACAGCCACTCACCCAGGCTGGCCAGGTACCCCAGCAGGACCCCCCACCCTGAAGGGGGTGTGGCAAGCCTGAAAATGCCCTCAGCCCCTCACCCAGGCTGGCCAGACACCCCAGCGGGACCCCCACCCTGATCCAGGACACCCTTCAGGGCAAATCAGCCAGCCCCCACCCATGCACCAGGCTTCTATCTTATATAATAAAAGGGTAATATGCAAATTGACCCTAACAGCAGAACAACCAGAACTACCGCTGGACCAGTCACTATGAGGCGCACTGACCACCTCTTGGTCCCTTCCCCCGGCTTTCAGGCACCAATCACCTGATGGCAAACGGGGAATGGGGGGTGGGTGGTGATGGGGGGCAGGGCCGGCTGCGGGCAGCTAGGGAAGATGGCCCTGATTGCAGGCCAGGCCTAGGGACCACACCTGCACACGAATTCGGGACTGTACCTGCGCACAAATTTCGGGCCTAAGCCAGCAAGTGGACATCCCCCGAGGGGTTCCAGACTGCAAGAGGGCACAGGCCGGGCTGAGGGACCCCCCTGAGTGCACAAATTTTGTGCACCGGGCCTCTAGTATGGTATAAAGACATCTGAGTCCACACTTCATGCAGATAGCTCAGGCAGGATGAGGGTTTAAGATGGAATCACAAGGTGACTGAACTGGGTTGGGCCAGGAGCTCCTGCTGAAACACCTTAGCATTGGGCAGCTTCCCCTCTGAACAAAAACATGCTGATTGGGGCCCTAGTAACTTTATTTGATGGGTGCCCTGAAAAGAACCATTCAATTATGTTTTACCTATTCCTCTAATTTTACCTTCATATATTGACTACTCCTGAAGCATGCATTTCCAGGCAATGGCAACTTTGGGGAGCTAGTGAATAGTCAACAACATTAAAAATGTTTACGTTTTCCTTCAGCTCTCAGAGGTGGAAAGGACCTTAGATGTTTATTTATGTGTCTTCCCTCTACCTACAAAATGAGCAATAAAAGGGAAAATAGTGTGGATGGCAGAGAGAATACTAGAACATAGGTCTAATTTGTGCAATTCCATCACTGAATGGGAATGAGAATTTTTGTTCCAATTTGAAGTCCAAGTACAATAATCATTCTTTAAATAGTGTTCATGTTAACATGAATATTTAGACTGTAAATTATCTGAGGGCAGTGACCTTATGTATAATTCAAGATTTAACTCCAGTTTCTACAACAGTTAATGGTAAGTAATAGACATTCAATAAAGACATGTTGAAGAATTTTTCTTTGAATGAATATAAAGAGTTTATTCAGTGCGTATTTGGGTATACAACAACAAATATTAAACAACTTTTTTTTAACATTTTTGTGCACAGGACAGAAAACTGCCTGTACATGCTATGTCCACTTTTGGAACACAGATTTTAACAATTATTAATGCACAAAATCTTACATATCATGCAACTCTATGCCAAGATTCCAACTTTCTTCCATGCAACAGATATGAAGATCTAAATGGAAACCTAGCTAAGTCTTAAACACTTTCCAGAAGCAAGTATAAGTATATGTTGTTTAGGGGTAACCAGTCTTAATATTTCCTTGTATATAATATTCATGTGCCAAATACAATGACAAGAGGACTCATACACATAGAGGTAAGACATTTCTTATTTAACAACACAAAAGACAATATCACAGTTCCACAATTCCTGTGTTTACATAAGAAGCCACAACAATAGTTTAACATGATAACACAAATGGAATTAAGAGAAATCTACACTTGAGGATAATCTTTTTTTGTTGTTTAAGTAATATTTATTGACTGGGGTTGACAATGCAATTCAACTTCTATGCACAAAGTACAGCACAATAACTTGACCAGAGTACTACAAATCGGAAAAAAAAATGGTAAAATCACAAGAACACTGTTACCTTGAGCCTGAGATGCCAATTCAGATCCAACCCTGAATTTGGTTGATTTGGATTAAGTGACACAGAGTCAATAGAACCACTGAATTTCAGAAATCAGAAAGTTGCACTATACCAAAGTAAAGAATACATTTGAATCAAGCATAGATAGAAAACATTAAGCCAAGAAAACAACACAGTTCACATAAGTTTGTTTGCCTCTACAAAACATTTAAGTAGTTAATTTTGTTTTATTTTTGAAGAGCAATTGTGGTCTTTTAATTTTTTTTTCTTGGAGGGCAAATTTTTATCAGCATTAGTGCTGTGAAATGATTGTGGTTTGTCATCCCCAAAGTTAAAGTGAGACCATGAGAAAAATGGGCAGTCCTTCTCCCAGATTTAGTTCACTGATAATGCTTAGCATTCTTTTGCACAAGCTCAATCTAAATTATGGGGCTTTAGTATGGATGATAAAGTTTAATGGCAGATAGAATAGTGAACTCTGCCTGTTTGTCTAGTAAATGTCACTGACAAATTTGAACTTTTGGGTGAAGGACTGCTAGAAGAATTCAACAGCACCTGGAGTAAGGTTCTGTTACAGAGCCCTTGTTTTGCCCTCACTGGCTACGTTGATTCATTGTGGCTCATGGATTTGCCTCCATTCAGTACTCCAGAGACACTTCTGCTCTTGGTTGGGGTCCCACTTCCAGATCGGGAGAACTCCGTGAGATCATGCAGTGATGGCTCCTTGTACATGGCCACTGAAAAGCACAGAAAGAGGGTGTCAAAGGCTTTTAAATAGGCACACCACACTGGCCCTCAACTTTTCTTCTAGTTACTAGGCTTCCACGCTTTAGGCCAAACATGAAAAATGCTGCCTTCAAGGACTCAGTCCGAAGTAAACTGGATCAGACTAAGCAAAATCTACTCTTGGTGAAGTAGTATGTAAAGAATTCTAATGACTAATTTCCATCACTTATGGTTATGTATATGAGAGGATTAATGAAAAATGCATTTAATAAAGCTCTTATAAGTTTAAACATGATGTAGAGCATGCTGTGCAAGCTAAATATGAAAAACATTTTAAAATGCTGATTTTTTATCATGATTTAAAATGAAACTCCCAAAAAGCCTAAATATTAGCACAATTCTTAATGCAATAAATGATAAATATGATTACTGTTATGCTGTAAATAATAGTACTAGCTTATGTTAATGGAATACTTACAATGTACTAGATACTGTTTTGAGTGCTTCCTATTCATTAACTCTTATAATCTTGTAAGAATCCTCTGATGTACTACTCTTATCCATATTTTATAGACATGAAGCTTGAGGCACACACGTGGCAATAATCTTCTCAAGACTATCCGGTTATTAAAGGGTTTGAATCCAAGTAGACTGGTTCCAGAAAAATGTGCTGTGAAGCAGTGCTATGCTGATTGACTGGGAAGTCTGCCCTACTTGAAACCCAGAGTTGAACCCTAGGTCAATAACCTCTTGAAGATCTTGCTCTGCTTTGTCTGCATTTTCTAGTCCTTCTCCACCATGTCTCACTACTTTTAACATCCCTATTTTCTGCAGTCCATTCCTATCCTCTGCCTTTTCTAATTTGCTACTAATCTGCTAATAATGACTGGAAAATAAAACTATGAATGAAAATTGTTGAGACAATATTGTTGGGCCCTTAGGGAATGTCCAACGAATTTTCTGATAAATGTTAAGTATACATACATTTAAGCATCTGTTTTTCTGCCCAGGGATCAATCTGGCATAATTTGGGATTCTTGGCTGTCCTGAGCTAACAATTAAACTAGTTCCATATAAGTAAGGTGTTACTATATGTACATATATTATGGAAAAATTAAAATCAAAAGATTAGATGCTATTTTTGCAGTTAAATGTTTTTAAGTGTTTAAACTGTTATGAAAGTTTTGTATAAAAGCCTTAATGCAGAAGAATTATGTTTCGTTTTCAAAAGTGTGAAAAAGGAATGATTTAAATACATACTCATTTAATCCCAGCTCCTATAACATCGAACTTACCTTTCAGTGGTTTGGGCAGAAAGTGAGCTGCAGGCTTGTTCTTCTTCACATGGTTTCCTTTCATGATCTCTCCTTCTTTGTTCAGACCCAGATACCACCCTCTGCCTGACTGCTGCTGGCGATATATCATCGATGAATATGTCACGTAATAATTTTCAAACACCGATTCTTTGAATTTACACTCAGGTGTGAAATGTTCCTACAAGAAAAGTAAATAAACTAAAGCTCAATATTTGCAGCTATGGATTTCATGGAGAATCATGTGGTATTGCCCTTCGGAAGTTAAGGACATTGTTTGTTAAAGCTTGTGTGACCAGTGCTCTATTTTAATAGCATAAACTATTATCATTGGAAAACAAGACTATATATAGTATTTTCTGTGATAATTTAGAAAAAGCACTAAGTGCAAGTGCCATTGATCAATGATTAGCTCTCTTTGTAATAAGGTAATGGAAAAATTAGAACCAGCCACATAAGTGTAATATATCCGACAAATACAAGAGCCAAATATAAAAAAAAGACAGGCATAAAGCTTTCACATGGAGCTTTGTTTACTTTGGGATTAAATATGAGAAAATAAATATTCAGTCCTTGTACTTACTTTTCATAGATTCTCCAATTACTATAAACTATAATTTTTAATTGCCCAAGACGGAAATCTGTGTTACAATGCTGGCTGCCTATATTTCTAAAGGGATGCTATAACGAAAGACTCCCTTTTACTTTTAGGTAAACCAAATTGTTTTTTAGGTCATTAGACCTTGAGTTAAAAAAGAAATTCCTGCTCACTCTTGCCTTACAGTAAAGTTTATAAGCAAATCAATATAGCAGTAAGAAATTTACAGTAATTCTATAAGTAGACATGAGAGAACAGCCCAAGGGACTCTCAATCCTGGAATGTGATATTCTGCCACATGCTTGACCATGTTTTCTTTGGAGTTGCCCATACAAATGAAGGGTTCCCGACCCAACTGTTTCAGAAACAAAAACAGAAACAGAAAACCTTCTTTCAAGTTTTGTGTATGTATGTGCATGCAATAAACAGCTATTAAAATAGCCATTTGTAAGCAAAATGAAATGATCAGCAAATTTTAACCCCTAAGTAATCCATAAGAAGCAAGGGGTCCACTTGGGGTGTAAGATAATGAAGAAAATGTTAACTGAGCTACATGTAACAGGGGCACCAAGGAAGCCATTAGATTTTTGCTCATTTGCTGAGATGTTATCAGGAATAACTTTTAATAAAAACGTAAACTACCTTATAAAAATACTGCAAGCTTTCTGGACACCAGTCTTTTCTTAACAATGCCTCCATGGTCCTACCTTCCTTCACTTTCATATGAGATATCATTGTAAGCAATGCACACTACCTCAACAACAGGATCTAAAGCACTCTCAGAGAGTCACTTGAGCAAAAAGGGGCAGATTCCTCAAATTGAGGCTGCTTTTTTCTGAAAGTTAAACAATTGAACAATTTTTTCCTTTTTTTCTGGGAATCTACAAAAATCTCAGTAATCTCACTGATTCCCACCTGGCCTGCATAGTTCATAGACTGGAATAATATTTTTGGTTTATTTCTGCCTGGGGCACACTTGATAGATCCTCAGAAAATTCACACAAATTCAAACTACCCAAGAATAAACATTACATCCAGAGAAACTATCATGTGATAGGAACCAAAGTGCTCTAATGATGGGATACAGAAATTCCTCTTTGTAGAATTCTCAACATAGGGAAAGCCAAGGAATGCCTACAAAGAAATTTGACTCAAAGTCTCTACATTCCCTCCAGTGATGAGGACAATTGCACAGAACACTGCTAAAAGTCATTGGGAATTAAATCACCATTTGGGGGATGGTAATCTCATCATTGGAGAGTAGATTTTAGTTTCCTAAAGAGTCAGAAATCATTTAAAAGTAAATATGGTAAATAACACATATGATTTAAACAAGTGATTCTTTGTGGCCATATCAAGACACTATATGACTGACTACAAAATGATGAGTTCAGATCATTGTGTGCTCTAAGTCCCAAAAAGGGCTGCATTTGATGTCTTGTGTGATCACAGCATCCATCTATTTATTCATTTATTTATATGAATTTTCTGGCAATCCATTATATGCTTGAGTGGTACTAAAAATTCATAGGTAAATAGCATGTGGCCTCCAAAAGCTTACCATGTAGTTTCAGGAGTCAGAAATATAACCAAATAACCTGGACACAGGGTTTGCTGCCATTAAGTGCAAAAAAGGATGAATTAAGAAGGTGATGCATGAAAAGAGAGGAAGCCTGACTTAATTCTGATTGGGGGACTGGGGAGTGGTGTACTTTACAGAGACAGTATTACTGTAGCTGAGCCTTGAAGCATGGGTAGGAATTCAAAACAGAAAAAGGAGAAGAATATTTGAAGCACAAATCTACTAAACTCTACTTCTGTGTCTCCTATCTCTATAAATTAGAGTCCACCATCCTGGCAACTGCTAAAACTTAAAACTTCAGGGTACCTTAATGTTCTTCCACATGCTCTTCAGTCCATGGTCTTGACCTTCCATTCCCATTGCCATTGCTGTCGTTTGTGCCCTTATTACCTTTTCACTGGCCTTCTGTAATAACCTCCTAACTGTTCTTTTCTGCTAAAATATTTTCTTACTAACACAAAGTTCAATTGCTCTGGAACTATTTTAAAAATTACTTTTTAAATTATGTATTTATTGACTTTGGAAAGAGAAAGGGAGAGAGTTGGATAAATTGATGAGAGAAACATCATCGATCAGTTGCCTCCTGCATGCCCCCTACTGGGGATTGAGCTCGCAACCCAGGCATGTGCCCTGATTGAGAATCTAACTGTGATCTTCTGGTTCATGGGTCAACATTCAACCACTGAGCCTCACCGGCTGGGCAATTCCTCAGGAAATTTTGATGGTATCACCATGCCTCTAGTAAAGATGATAACTTAATGTTTCATTGAAAATTCTCCACAATTCAATCACAACCATGCCTTCAGTCTCATCCTCTATCACAGAATCGTGTGTCTTTGTGCATTTACAGATGCCATTCATTTCCTTTGCTTAGAATGTCATTCTTCAATCTCTCTACCTACTGGCTTTCCCCTCATCCCTCAAGTACTTATTCAAATATGACTGCCTCTGGAATCATAGTTGATCTCTCTCATTCAGGGTACTTGTATTTGTGCTCTCACAAACTCTAGCTAGATCTCCAGCTTGGCCCAGTGACTCAGGCATATGCTACATTGTCTCCAAACGGCAGAGGACTTGTCTATTTTTGAATCCAACTTCATCTTCATAAATGACTAGTCATATTGCCTAGCACACAGCAGACCACGGGATTATTGTTTATGGGATTTGAATTTCAGAGATTGCAAATTTGCATTGCAGATTCCAGGATTCTGAAGTAACTAGTAAAAAGTCTGTAGGGAATTTCCTTAATATCATATAATGAAATCAGCTGTGTGTAAAAGGAAGCTGTCATGGCACTGACAGATCCTGCATGCATGACTTAGTATATGTTACAAATAACAGATACTACACAGATGCTGGTTCCTACAACATTAGGAGGAAAAACTTGGCATTGTTACAACTATTAGAAAATGGCAAGGAAGGACTCAATGAATTAAATGATCTGTCACATCCCGGCAATTTCTTAGTCATCACTACTAAATTTAGGCTAAAAACTCAGTAGAAAGGTAGGAAAATGAGGCAAAAAAAAGACTATAGAAGCAATGAAAGGAGTGTTCTGTTCTCTGTGCATGACACTGTCATTTTATCCAGTGTCTGAATGAGTAGGCAGAAGAGGCTTGATTTCTATGAAATGTGGAAAAATGAACATCCCACCCAACACAAGAAGTGGACACAAAGAAAAAAGGTGCAGTTGTATTTGTCTATGTCTCAACAGTGATTCATATAAATAACAAATTGGATTTGACCCTAATCAGGGAGGCCTTTTTCTGAGGATACCAGGTACTTATGGCAAGGAATCAACCTCCTTTGATCAATCTGGAGATGATTACCAGTATTAGTGTTCTTGAAGAAGGTGCCATAGTGGCCTTGGCAATACTAGGCACTAATCAGAGGTGGCAATCACTGTGCTCTGTATTTACTATGCATTAAATATCTATCATAATAAATGAATGAATAAATTAAAAATATGCCAAGTGTTCTCTGAAGAGCCACTAAGAAATTACTTGGCATGAGTACAGAGAAAAGGTGTTTTATATCTTAAAACTTTTTATGCATTGATTTCTCTTAAAAGTTGTTTATCTCTTACATATCTATATTTTTTCAGAGAAATTACACCTTTTTAGCTCATGAAATAATCAGTCTGTATCTCCTCTGTATCATCATTTCTATTCCTGTTAAAGTTTAAGGTTAGTTTTTTCTTAGTGACCAGTGAACCTTTGTGTGTGTGTACGTGTGTTTGCGTGTGCGTGTGTATGTGTGTGTGTGTGTGTTCAAAGTTTTTTTTTCTGGGTTATTTATTAAATAAATAATTTCTACTACTTTAAATTGAATTTGGTGGAGTGACATTGGTTAATAAAATTATATAGGTTTCAGGTGTACAATTCTACAACACATTAGCTGGGTATTGTAATTGTATATTCACCACCACAAGTCAAGTCTCCTTCTATCACCATTTATCTGCCCTTTACCCTCTCCTACATCCCCCCACCCCCTTTCCCTATAGTTATCACCATACTGTTGTCTGTGTCTATGAGGGATTTTTTTTCTTAATCCCTTCAATTTAATCATGCAGCTTCACAACCCCCACCCCCACCCCCAAAAACTGTCAGTCTGTTCAGTCAGTTCTCTGTATCTATGAGTCCATTTTGATTTTTTAAAAAATCTTTATTGTTGAAAATATTACATATGTCCCCTTTCCCCCACCCACTGACCCGGGAGACAGTTATTTGGAGGTTGAAATATCACCAGCAAGAAGAAAACATTTGAAACCCTCAAAATCAGGTCAATATGACATATTAGAGAATACTTACAGACACAAATGGTAATGGTCAGCTGCCCTTTTCAGGACATCTCAGACCTCCACACAGACTTTGAGAGTCATGTGAAGAAAGTATTAACACAATCAGTAATGTTATTTGCAAATAACCACCAGATCTAATAGTAGTGCCAGAAAACATCTTTGTCCCAGAACAAAAGGCTTTAGACCTGTGTAAATTGCTAT